TCTGGTTTCTGGCAAGTGCTGGTTGCCACGGTTAGAGGGGTCTGAGTTCTAGTCCAAAGAAACGTCACAACAATGTCTTTCTCCGCCCAGAATTACCTATGATTTGTCAAGGAAACTGGCAAAATTTTACAGATAATCTTTGATGGACTACAGTCCCTTTCCAGGAGGTAGTGATGAAGTAGCAATATATAGCTGGTTGTCTTAATGCTTTATGTTACTGTTTGGATTTGAGGCATAAGACATACTTTAGACCAGTTTTCCCGCTAACGTGAATACGCTGGCGAGTGCTCTTAAATACTTACTGTGGATGTTCAAAATGATAAAATGGAGGTCTAAGAATTCCTGCTGGTACGACTGAAAAGTAAAGAGAACTTGATAAGGAGAGAGGTCGACTTTCCGCATCAACGTCTTTTGCTACTTAGCTGAGAGCATAAACATGATGCTGGCGTTTCATCCTGAAAGGAGAGAGTTCTGCCTGCTAATCGAAATTCCTAAAATTCTTAAGCGGCAGTTTTGGCGGGAACGACGGCGGGACCTACGCACGCGCAGTCACGCGCAGTCACGCGCAGTGTGTCGGACTGCCGTGTAGCAGAAACTCGTACTCACCTATTTTATTGCTTTGAGGTGAATAGTATGCGTTAATCTCAGTCGGTCGCATGTCCCATCTGTAACGACTCATAACGCTTCCTCTTGCTTGCAGTGTGTTTTTCATTCTAAGTTTCTGCTCGTTCAATCGATTTTGAAAGAACTTTTTGGGGTCACTTTTCAGCTGAAAAGAAAATATGAGAGAGTTTAAAGCGGTTATAACCGCATTGCTACACACGAACCAAGTGAAGCATTTTAAAGACCTTAAACGTAGCCTAAAGGGGAGCCTAGGGGTTTTGGGCGCTGGATTTGAAATCCGGAGATCCCGAGTTCAAATCCTCTCCCCTGCCACTAGATGGTTTTGGGTTTGGTGGTCCCAGATTCAACTCCTCCACACCTTGTAAATAGCCAACTGGTCAGCCTCCCGCCAGTTGGGCTTTTTAACAAGCTTCTGTTTGATTTATAATGTTTGTCTTATTTTCAGTGTCCACAATTAGTACAGCAGTGATAAACACTTCGACACCTAAAAAAATATATATTTATTCTATTTTATTTAATTTATCAAAGCTTGAATTAAAGTTAAATGTCTGATAAAATTGTTCTCGACACTTACTCCAGAAAAATATTCCTCTAGTGCAGTTATATTCGTGATAAACTCTGGGTAACCTACTTGCTGAAAAATGGCTTCGGCCTGAAACAGAAATAGAAATACATCAAAGTTAAAAGAAAAACCCCTTGAAAGCTCTCTAAAATCAATGCTTCTATTTTTAAATAGAAGCAGTTAAAACAGGTAGATTACAAGCTTGAGAGTTTATATCTTCAGATCTTCCTCGGAAGTTTTCGGAAATCTTCGGCTATCTTCGGAAACCTTTGGAAACTTTTGGAAAATGTTATTTGTATAAGCATTTTCTGTGACTGAGTTCGACTGGCCGAGCTTCTCTCTTCGAGAATACTGTTTCCTGTAAATCATTGTAGACCAGGCTTCTTACCTTTTCTTTCGCGGCCTGTTTTGTTTGACTGTCCATCCAATTGACAGTTTCTAAGTTTTCAATGAAAGCCTCTCGTATGTTTTGAACCATTTGATTGGCCTGAAATTGAGTAACAAAGTTCATTTAAAGCAAAGTTTGATTTCTGTTCAGTTAAGAAAAAAACCAATAAGAAAACTATCTTTAGGGCCCAGAAGTATCATTACCGTGCCGCCGAGGACAACGCCAAGTTAAAATGAATATATATTGTACTTTCTATTGGTTTACGAATTGCGTCTCATACAAATATTTAACATGTTCAAGTTCAAGTTTAACAAGTTTAAGTTCAATTTGAAGTAACCTATCAAACACGACAGACGGTGCATTATTACCACAGTTGTAAATAGCAAGAAGCCTTAGAACGCAGTTCTAAAACACTTTGTGATATGGCTCCTGTACTTACTCGATGTAAACTTTGATTAGTAACACCGCTTTCCTTGTCAGTAACATACAACATGGATACCCCCATGTCAATGGACGCGTCTGTATTGCGGACGCAGCGCCGCCATAACTCACTGGATTTCTTTATTCCATAAGCTTGGCGCGCGTACTCCAAGTATGTGTCATGGAACTCCGATGAAAGATAAGGACCGTATTCATAAATGATAGTCCAAGTAATGTAATTAGCAACCACCCTTAAATGAAAACAAATCAATCAGCCCAACTAACTTAGTTAAAGCAGACAAGCTATGAATGGCCTTAACAAGTTGTATATTTCTAGATCACTCGCGGTTTTGGAAATCCCAGGAGGGTGTAGAAATAGATAGCCAATTCTGTCACGCGGATTTTGCTCACGTGGAAACCCCAAGCGGCTTACACGCATCTTCGTCTTCCACGAAAGGGTCCACGCAATGCGCGTGCGAGGTAAAGTTGTCCGTGGGAGAACTGGGTACTGCATCCAGCGCTGCGATCGGTGATAGACATTCGTTAAGATTGTTTTGTTATGCGATCTGATTTTTTTTCATACCAAATTTTTCCGTGGCTTCTGTCCGCCTTTATCAGATTTGCAATGTTAAGGTTCATTAACATTGCAACTCTTATGAAGGTGGGCAGAAGCCACAGGAAATTTGGTTTAGTAAAAACTGATCGGATACTCGGAACTTGGGAACCATGTCTAAAATTAATTTGAGATGGACTACTTTGGCAATAAGACCTACATATGGGAGCTTAATTCTTTGACCAGTCGTCCTCTATCGATATGGATATGGATCGATGTCGTATATTGTAATGCGTAGATACGTACTCCGTAGACTTTTTTTTTTGTGGTGTAAGTTTAATTGTAATTGTTGTAATTGTTCGATCGAGCAAATAAAAAAATAAATAAATAAACAAATAAATTTACAACTCACCCCCTAGTCTTACTATTTTTGAAAATTTTCATCAGTTCTTCCAGATACTTGGGAGCCCCCACAAAGATTTCTTCTGATTCCGTGATAGGGTTGCTTAAGCCTTCAGTTAATTTGTTGAAATATCTTGTCCAGTTAAACTGAAAACCAAAGAAAAAGTAATCATACGTATTATTAGACTGTTGTTGTTGTTGTTGTTGTTGTTGCTGTCGCTCTTTGTTGTCACTCTTATCAGTTGTTGTTAATTGTTATGGTTGTTGTTGTTGTTGTTGTCGTTTCCGGTTGTCCGCTCGTTGACGAGCTAATATTTCCCTTGAATTTCATGAAAACGCAACCAGCTTTAAATCTGTAATTGCCGATGAGAGCGGATGAAAGTTGATGATCACACCCCAGACGATTTCAACTCTCCTCGGCTCTGTCGTTAGACCCCGCTTTAAAGTATCAATTACGACTGAGTACCTTACAACTGTTCATATATTAAAATGCTTGCAGTGCCATACAATGAACATAATAAATGAACTGTCGAAAGGAGAGCAGATTTTAATTACTTTTTGGTGATTTTTTTCAAGATACGTTGACAGAATTTGAAAAAGTCGGCGCACGTTTTGAGGTTGAGATCACAACATTATGCATGCATAGCCCATAGTGTCACTAAACAAATAGTTTTAGTTCACTTGTATAGTACTTTTTAACAAGACTAGGCCATTACATTTAGGTTTTTATCAACGAAAAGACGTCCTTCTCATGAAAGTGCTCCTTTAAAACAACTACACGACAACATTAATAATAAATCGATCTTGTTATTCTTAGTTACTTATATCCACCTAAACTAGCGATCCAGGCCAAGAGCCGGGCGTAACATGTAAATGAAAACGTTCTTACCCCAGGCAGATTAGCTTGAAAATCACTTATCGTCCATTTTATGAGGTCACTACGTTTCTCTTTGCTCTCAAATTTCGTCTCATCTTGCATGGCCTATGAAACGAAAGGTACAACTAGTAGGTTCAAAACTTTTACATTTTATGTCGTTTACATTAAATTTTACAGGTACTTAAAGTGATCTTATACAAAAAAAATATATATTTTTTCTACTATAACAATTAGAGATACTTAAGGCTATTCAGAGCCTGAATTCATTAATGAGCTAGTACGAAATATTTGGGTGAACATTCCTTGCTACGTTAAAATCCAAATGTCACTACCCAAGACTTCTTATGTTTACCATAAAACCAAGGTGGAATTAAAGCAAATTAGTTCTACCCTGCGAGCAGCGGGAAGAGGAGGAGACCTCATCTCTTACTCTTCCCGACTTTTCTAGAAAGATCGAAGGGACCTCTGCTCGCAGGGTAAATTAGTTCAAAATACGCTTTAAAAAATAAAATATATTACAACATTTAGAGAGGAAGCCACGTCAGCCTTAGCTGGTTTTCAAGCTGGTACCTCTATCCTGGTCGAATTGGAATTTGGAGATGTTGGTTTTTGTGGAAAACCTGAAAACCCGCCGGAATTGAACCTCGATCACACTAGCGGGAGGTAAGCACTCTCACCACTGTGATATCCCTGCTCGCAAATGGTCAGGCATTCTTAGCATTTATGTTTCAGAAAAATGGTTTCCGCGTACAACTTTCTGATTATAAGACCACCTTAAGAAAAACAGCAATTAATGGCGTTTGTGGTTTCCAGTTATTACCTTGACCAATTGAACCTCCAAAAGTATGATGTATTTGAGCTCTTGTACAACCGTGTCTACCTCTTGATAATCAAGAGCTCCCAGAAGTCTTGTTAGATTCGCCATCAGTGCAAAGTATGCTTTCTCCAGCTGCGAATTGAAAAAGTTACAAAATTTACTTTTGAAACATAATTTCGATTTTGTTTTAATTCCGAACTCAATGTCTTGTAATTTACCAGATTTTCGAACACAACTTTGTTAGATTTGTTTAAGAGCCATTGATGTCCAATTCATTTCTCCATTAGTGGTGCTCTTTGCTCCTTATATCATAACTGACTGTTTTGTCATGTAACTCCGCAGAACATTTTGCTGGCGCAAACTCAATGCCTTCCAAAATTAAACATCACCCCCTCCCCCTTCCCCCCCAAAAAACAACAACAAAAACGATTTCAACTTCCCGTGACAATAAGCTAACATAAAAATAGGTCAACCATAAAAGCCTTCTGTACATAAGCCTAGTGCGGTTCAAAATCTTACGGCAATCACTGAAAAAAATCGAATTTTGGCTGTTTCTCTCAATTGTTAACGGACTGACTGTTTACTTTCTGACGCATTTGGGTTCAATAAAAAGCAATAATTCAAAAGCCGATCGCATACCATTAATACGACACCTAGAATACAGAGGACTTGCTTTATTTGTTTAACTCAAAACAACTCACCGCTAATAAATGTTCTTCCTCTGATAGATAGACATCACGTGACTTCATTAGGGGCTTTCCTTGGCCAATCTGACGAGCCAGATACAAAGTATATTTTGAATTCCTCTCTAGGCAATAAAGGGGAACTTTTCCAGATACAACGATAGTGAAGTAAAAGTCTTACAAAGGAGAGCCGTTAAAGATTATGAAGTAGCCTTACTCTCGGGTAAACTGGCATTTTATGAATTGACAAAGTTGAAGATTTATAGGACACAACAATAAGAATTGACCTTATTCTAAATGTAACAAACTCACCACCCTAAATATGGCTTACAACTTGAAAATTCTTCCAACAAAGTAGATTTTAGAAGCGTTTTTGTAATGTTATGTATGTTTTAAATATAAATCACAAAACATTCGTTATGAAAGCGCGGGGCACGTTAAGGCGGTTCTTCCATAATTCGATAGAAGTACAGAATTAATAGAACTACCACGACCTTTTCACGCCACGATCCGGCGAGCAAAGCGAAACTTTCATTTTACTAATCGAAATAAATGAGTGATTTTGCTTTCCTTTTCTCGTAAGGATCTGAGAGAACTGTGCATTTTGAAAGGAAAACAAGTCTCAGAATTACTCAAGTTCGGATTTCGCAGAGGAAAAATGAAAGCTTTTACATTTCCGCAGGAGTCCCTCGGCGTCAGTGATGTTTTTGATGTCCTTAGGCAAGCTGTTAAACAAGCGCGCTGCGCAGTCCTGAAATGTGCCAGGGAACTGAGACACTACCAAATTACGTTCTGACGAAGATCTCAAGTTGAATGTCGGTGTTCGGACGTCTAATCTAAGACAGGATGACCATTCCGCGTTATAAAGTGCTTTACATATAATTCTTGATAGACTAAGATCTCTATGGTACTTAACAGTCAGCCAGCCAAGCTTTAGCACATCAGATATACTAGAGAAACGGTTTAATACGAAACTGGCAGCCGTGAGCTGCACACGCTGCAAACGATGGGTGACGTTATTAGGGAGCTGATGATATACTACATTGTTATAGTTCAACCTAGATAGCACGTGACATTATACTAACTGCTTTCTAATGTGTAACTGTGCAAAGTTCTTGACTTTCCTGATCACGGACAGAGTGCTGTAACAGCTTGCCGCCTTAGAAAGGACATCATTATTCCATTTAAGGTTTTGATGTAATTCCGTCCCAAGTAACTTAGAGGACTTCACCCTGTCCAAGATTGTTTTAGTATAAATCTACTAGTCTTTCAAAACTTTATCTAAATCCTCTTCACAGACCTTCGAAAACGCCAAGAAGTGGCCGTCATTTTGTTAACAAGGGCACACTGCTACGCTACTCACTATCTATCACAGAATAGAGAGTGGTTAGCGTAGCCAATTAGATAGCACGCTGGTAGCTTTATACTAAAACATAATAGAGAGTGAGCAGCATAGCCAATCAGAGAACGGCATTCGCTATAGGACGCCAGTAGATTCATACTAAAAATCGGTAGAGGCACTTGAAATGTCTTCTATTTCTTAAAATAATGATATTGAAACTGAGTTTTTGTGATTGGTTTAAGTGCTTGTTTTTTGTTGGTTTGTTTTCTTATTGAGTCGTTTGTTTGCTTGTTTGTTTTGTGGAGCCTCTTTACTAAGGGTTTACTCTGCCATACCGAGAGACGTGCTGGCGAAGAGGAATTTCGTGGATCAACACTCAAAGAAACTGTGAATAACGGGAACACGCCGAGCCCGCGATGAACAACGCCAAGCACGTCTTCTAGTTGCCAGTCCTCGTCAGAAATGTCATTTGGTACATAAGGTGTGAACTGTTCGCCCATTGTATCTTGTATTAACTTCTTTAGCGGTTCAGCTCCCAGTCTGTCACGTTCATCTTGGTCCAAACAGGACGCGTACCACTTGTAAACTAGTTTTCCCACACTGTTATCTAAAGGGAAAAGAAACCATAGAATTAAATGAGTAAAACATGGCTTAAAATACTAGTGAACAAAGTAATAAAGTTCCGTTTACAATTTTTGCAATTAAGTGGCAAAATAGCGTTAGGTAGAAACAGTTGGCAACCATCTGCGAAGAGATCTTTTTAGTATGCCACTTAATTTTAGAACGCAAGGACTTCAATCTACTTCATCTTTCATTTCATTGCGCCATTAAGGCAACTTCTGCCTCCCCCTCGTTTCCTCACACTTGACTGGCAATTTTACTGTCGCTCGCAACCTGACTTAGCACGAACACGTTGCGAAAACCGGTTCTCAAGGGATGCAGGATTCGTCATCAATGATTTTGGGTTTCCCAGGCCAGTTAGACGAACTCTTGGGCCCAAAGTCAAAAACAATTAGTTTAGTCCAGTTGTGAAAATGTTTTCAATAACTACAGTATGAACAAAATTTCTGAACTGGAGTTTCCTAGAAAAGGGAACGGCTATGTTTGAAGTTTACTCTGTACTTATTTATTAAAAACATTTTGGGAACTTGATAAAATGAATCAAACCTTGTCATACATACTTTGGACGTAAAAGCTCACGCTAAGGTCTGTTAAACTTCAGTTGAATGAGTGAGGACGAACCGTGCAATGTTTGGTACCTAACAAATATTATCGTGCCCAGATTTGTAATTAGCCAATCAGAAGCCGCGTCTACTGTCCTGATATCCTCCGATATCATATCACTGACTCGCATGATATGGCCACCATATCATGGTCACTTGGCCCAGTTTAGGTACAGTATAAAATACCTAATGGTACTTTTTTTGCTCGCGACGACGGCATATCAGACGAATTTGGTCGAGCCAAAATCCAAACCAAGGCTCAGCCAAACTCGCCTGATATGTCGCCTAAGCGTTTTTGTATGATCAAGAAAAAACGTTGTTTTTCTGGACGTAGAAGACGTTTGTTTGAAAGGGTAAAGGTTAATTTTTATATCGCGGCCTCCTTCGTACCTGAGTGTTCCTGTTGCTCAATCAGATACTTCAGTCTATTTTCCGTCTGCTCAGCTAAGTAAGAAAATATCGTCCATTTGGCGTGGTCTCCAGGCAGCTTTTCTGCTATCCATCCGCCACATGCGTATTGGTAAAAGTCTGTGCAGGGGTTGACATTTGTGTCCATCATTTGAGACATGTTCCTGCTCTGTTTAATGCATTGATCCGTCTTGCATTCTGGAACAGGTCGAGAGGATTTGGGTTTATGCTTTGGATTTTGGTTTTGGTAGTCTGGCTTCATCGCACTTTCAATGATAATTATAATCTCGTCATCAGAAACTACGTAAAAGAAAGAATAAATTAATAATTGTCATTCGTTTTAGGTATTGTAGTTAATGGAACTCAGTCACAGCATTTTGAGTTAGTTTGGCCACGTACAAAATTACCTTGAAATTAAAGGAAACCTGAAAATAGTAATGTGCTAAGATAGAAAAACACCAAAAAGATAATAACAAACCATAAAGGAACGAGGATGGTTAAGGATGGAGAAGATTAACACGGATATTTCCCATCAACGAACTTGAAAGATTTAGTCTAAACTTTTCCAGCTGCGCAAACCATGACGTTGTTCCTTTAAGCAACAACATGCTTTTGCGAAATCTATGTAAAGGACTACGTTTAGGTTCAGTGTTACCAAACAGTTTTTGTTCTATTGCGGAGTTTATAAGGACCCTTATCAACGTGGGTCGGGTAGCAACTCCGTAAGGTCTCACATGAATGGCTTGGTACCCTTTGAGAGAACAATAAAACAAACAACAGAAACAATGTCCCTATCCCAAAATAATAACTGCTGCTAACAATGAAAAGAATTACAAGCTTACGAGAGCTGCTTCACTTTGTAGTCATGTGTAGTTAATAGAGGGAAATGGTTATGAAATCTAGCAAAGTTCTTTGTTGCATGTTTTTGTTGGCTATTTTGGGGGTTGACCCTGCACAAAACCTGACAAAATACAAAACGTGGTCACCCTCTTAAGGGTGATCAAGCGATAGTCTCTCCTTACAATATAATTAGTGACCAAACCACGATGGTAACAGCAACGAGAATGTCGCCAAACGAGAGGATTAATGAGTAAAACAATGGCTGTGCACGTGCGTTATAACTCTTTGTACATGTCTTTGCCAGCCTCTACAAAACAACAACGTGAAATGACTAAGCGTCTCCACAGACTAGACACTTAGTTGTCGACAACCATTTGTCATCGACTGAACCAAATGTTATCTACAACTAATTGTGCCCGATGCGAGCATTACACATCAC